GTGCTAGGTTTCGGATCCGTTTGCTTTAAAATTTGAGGCTTTTGCTCAAATTCAAAGTACTCATCGCTGATTGGGGACTTCGAATTGAACTTGAACGAATTTTGCGAGCTCAAATTTGTTGGTTTGGGAGTTGTGAGGTCGATTATTAGGGTGGGGAAAGAGAGCTCTTGGACGAAGAAGATGAGTGGGTTATGGTTCTTTGAGCTGGAATTAGGCGAGAGAGATTCTCTCTCTTTCTCTCTCTCTCCTATCCGTTTCTCTCTCCACAAAATGAGAAATGAGGGTTGGAATTTCTGGGCAACTCATTTATATGGGAAGGCAATTTGGTAATTGTAAGTTTTAGGAAAATCCTATTTATGTCCTATTGTTATGCATGTTGTGTGCATGATATGTGCATATCCGAAATATTTCAGTCGCAAGATTAAGAAAATGGGTCATTTTTGTCTATTTCCCTACTATATTTGTAGAGAAAATTAGAATTAGATGCCTCATTTTAGACATATTTATAGATTAAACATTTGTTATGATTAAAGTGTTTTTACCTTTGATTAAAATCTACAAGCATTTGCCTACACACTTTGTGTGTATGAACACATTTTTATAGAAAATGAGAAGGAGAGAGGGAGAGAGAGAGAACGTGGGGGGGGGGGAGAGTGGGAGGTTTTCTTTTTCCGTTTTTTTTAATTAGAGGTATTTAAACATCATCTGTATGTGAGATTTCAATAAAAAATAGTAAATTTTGGACATGTGAAATTACATTATTACCTGTTATTTTTTTGTGTGTGATAGAAGACTAAGTAGTCTTTTCATTTCCATATAAAAAATGCTCTCAATAATATAAATCAATTTATTGCTATTTTTATGAATTCTCATCTCTTCCTCAATTTAAGTATTCAAGTGGGATGAAGATTAATTGGATGGAATATAATTTTTTTTTTTTTAAATTTTCAGCTTAGCATTTTATACAGATTATAACAAAAATAAGAGTTCTTTTATAATTAAAATAAGGATAACACAACACGTACCAATAACTTGGTACGTACCAAAATAAGGATAACACAACGTACTAATAATTTGGTACGTACCAAATAAAGAATTGCATAACGTACCCAAAGTAATATTTTATAAGGTACCAAAATACTGATATGTATCCAAATAAAATTTATAAACGTGCCAATCATTTGGTACATTATATTTAATATATGTGTATGTTATTTCTCATAATTGTATGTTAAAAGGATGTTTGAGTATTTTTAGAATTCAAATAAAAAAATTTATTTGAGTTAAAAAAATATTCTTTTCAAATGAATTATGATAAGATAAGATGTTTGTTGTGGTTCTAGGAGATTTGTGATATTAATTTGTGAATTAATGGGTAAATTAAATATAATAAAAATCATAAAATTTTAATTAAAAATTAGTAGAAAAATGTTTGATCAAACTCTAGACATTTCATTTTTTTGCTCTTATCATTCATGTCTTTCGTATCTTTCTTTTATTTCAACAATCAAACTTTAAATAGAAATGCTAAGGAGACTCTCAAAGTAAGATTGTATGTGACGACCCTTCCTTACTGTTCACTGTAATTTCTTTTTCGTTGGTGTGAGTTGATGATTTTACCCTTTTTGGGCAAAAGTGGGATCTGATGTGGACGTGGCTTTTGACTTTTATTTCTTTTTCCTGGTTTCATACTAAATTAGTACTCGTCATCACGAACGCGTGGACACAAGTTATACCCGAATTAGATTTGTAACGAAAAAGTTACACTCCGTTAAAGTACATTAATTACGGGTGTTTTTGTACACGCGCATACAAATTTATCAGTGCTTGGAACACTGTTAGGAGGACAGATTTTGTACATTTAAAATTGTATAAAATCTGAAATTCAAATCCAATCCTCCCTTTGATTGGTGGATCCATGTGCCCTATCCCTCACACAAACAACTAATCATCTCCTTAAATTCATCCTCACCACCCAATCAATTGCTTTCCCTCCTTTTGGAAGCAACCAACCACACTTCACCCTCGCACTTCACACCCAATCAAATTTAAGAGAAAAATCAAACCTCTCTCTCTTTCCCCGAAAGCTCTCTCACTCTCTTCTCTCTGTAACTCCCTCAAACGACCCTTAAAACACTCAAATGTGACATGCAACCTACACCATTGAACTCCCTCAACTCCACGAACACAACCATGTAACCATATTGTGATTTGGTTGAGTTTTGACTCACCAACTCGGAAGGTCTGACTCAGTGAGTTTTGGTTCAACGAGTTCGAGGTCGAGTCACGGGGAAGGCCGGGGAAGCTTTCTTACAACTCCTCGAGGCTCCTAGGACAAGTTTGAGGAAGCTTCAATGTGAAACAACCCCCATTTCAAGAAGTTGAGTTTTTGGCAGAACCGTTCGAGGCATTTTCAGGCCACTTCCCATCTGTTTTTGGACTTCTAAAAGGTATAGATTTGTTCTACTCCTCAAGAGCTTCATTTCCATATAAATTTCTTGAAAAATGGTTGAGAAATGAGCAAGTTATGAAGCTTTGAAATTTTACTCAAAAATCGGCGAAAATTTCTAGAATTCGACAAGCTCAGACGGCGGCGACCAACGAGGACCACCGGAGAAGACGATGGAATATTCCGTCAAAGTTGACGGAATATTCATTAGGTAACGCCGTTAAACTCTATTAGTTATTTAACAGAATATTCTCGATGGATGTTAAGGGCTTGCCTGCATGTGGTGGCGCGTATGGCCGTGCCTTAGCCAGCGTGTGGCGGCATGTCTAGCCTCTGATTGACCTTCTGTCAATTTGCGTAGGTCTGTGATGTCGAGTAGATCGATTTCGTATATTCAAACCCTATGTTTGAGCAATCTATGGAGGTTTTATTTAAGTTTCCATTTAGGTGTTATTAACCTAAGTTAAAAAGTAATTTCACATATATGGGAAATATATCCCGAGGACGTACGGGGTTAGGCAAGGCTCGGAGGCTATGATCTGACGAAGTATTTGTGAGTGGGCAATTTGTTTTTATATCTATACGTAGTTATAGTTTCCATAAATGCATATTTTACCCCATTTTTATGCTTATATTGCCAAGTATCGTTATTATGATATTAAATGTGATAAATGCTACTATATGGTTGGGATATTACTGTCATGACATTCATACATATTTGTACATTCTGCACCCCGGTGTCAGTACTCCACCTAGGGGCGGGCCAGTCCTTCATGTGTATGTTCACATCCGCATAATTCACTCACCTTGGATCCAAGTTAGGTGCTAGTCCTGTTGTACATATTGCATTAGGTAATTCCGACTCATATGTAACCGCGCCTCGGCACTAACCTTCACATGATCGTAGTACTAAAGTGTCATATCCCATCTCGACTCCGTCGTAGCACTATATTGTTCGCTTTGGGCTTATCATTCTCTCACGGATTTGTTTTCCGGAACTCAGACGAGTACTTCCCAGTGGGTCACCCATCTTAGGATTGCTCTCGCCCGAACTCGCTTAACTTTTGAGTTCCGATGGAATCCGAAGACAGTGAGTTCCGGTGGGCAGGTACATATAAGGCACACCACCCCTTCTCCGTCGGTTGATGTGGGATTTTACATAGAGCGTATTGATTACACCTAGTCCTGTCATACATGTTGCATTATGCAACTCGAACTCGTGTGCTAGCATAGATAGATGAGCAATTGATTACACTTGATTATCACTTGATTATATTACTGTGGCATTTGATATATCATGACTTGGCATATTTCTGGTTATATTGCTACTGTACTGGACTATACTGTTGCTTACATACTTTACGTAGTATGTTTTAAGAAAACTTTACTTATTTTACAGTGAGGGGTTAGTATATTCGAAAATAAAGGTTTTCTTACAAACGTTGTATTGCTGACCCACTTAACATTGTTTTTAGTCCCTCCAGGGTTAGTAGCTGTGCTTACGTAGAAACGAGGATTCTGGCAAATCTCAAGAGATGGTTATCTTTAGTGGTATAACCCTCATCCTATTTTACTACACTACATTTTAGTAGCTGTGCACTCTTTTGATTAGATACTTTTGGGTTTAAATTTATTCACATCCTTTTTCCACTACACTACAATTTATGATTTTGTCACCCTCTAGGTGTCGGCTAGCACAATTCGATTTGGAGTCCAAGTGGACATTTCGGGTCGGGGTGTGTCATTGTCCGCGGACTCTTTGGCACCTCATGTTTTTGGCACAAAGTTTTATAATATTTGCAAAAGAATTGTGCCGAAAACTTGAGGTGGTAGAGAGCCTATAAAAAATCTCACTTTTAACAAAATCTCCTCAAACATTTCCCAACTTTAAAATCTCTTATAGCTAATTTTTCTACGACAATTAACTATAATCAAGGACACATGAAAACCTAGAGAGTGCAATGCATGACAACCTTGATGTGTTATTTTTCGGAAAAGGATCCTCACCGAATCCTTTTCTTGGGGATCTTTAGAATCCTATAATCGTGACCCTTCATCGTATATCGTGTGGTCAGAAATTATTTTAAAATTTAAAATTAAATATAAATAGTACCCAAGAAAATTGACCGCACGATGTATGATGAACGATCATGATCACAGGATCCCTAGGATCTCTAGAAAAGGGAGCATTTTTGCTCACCACTATTTAGTGTAATGTATGTTTACTACCCTATTTATCACCGTTAGATGAGTTTGAATTTCAAGATTCGTGTAGTGGATAAGCACAAATCTTAAAATTCAAACTCATATAATGATGATAAATAGGATAGTGAGTATACACCAAACTAAATGATGATGAACAAAAATGCACTTTCCGGAAAAAGGATCTGTTCCGTTATTTTTCTGACACAAGGAGAAGGTAAGATTTGCGTAAGACAGCCGGCTCCACGGCGTCAGATTCATGAGTACCACAATAAACACTTGGAACGTACCGTACAGGAACACCGCCCAAGAAAGAGCCAGAGATCTTCCACTGTTTTAACAGGGAGGGAGGGGAGGGAGACAAAAGGGTTCAACTCGTCACTGCCCGTTGCCTTTTTGCAGCCTCCAAAATACTTAGGACTCAGTATCTTGCTCTTCCACTTCTTCCGAGCCTTCAAGCAGAGAGAGAAGGGGAGAGAGACTCAATTTTTAGTGAGAGAAAGAGAGAGAGAAGGAGAGAGAGAAAGAATGTCTTTAACGTCTGTGAAAATGTCGGAGGACGTCTGGCTGACGTGCCTCACTCACGCATTGTCCACCGAGACGGAGGAGATCATGGGCCTCCTGCTTGGTGACATCGAGGTTACACTCTCTGCCATTTTCGTCTTCCAATTTCTTCAGCTTCTTCCATTTCTGTTATGTGCATGTTAGGTTTTCTTTACTGTTTGCTGAATTCTTCTCTTTTTTGTGGGTGTTCAAAATTAAAATTGCTTCATGTTGATCCTTGGAATGAATTTAGGGTTGGAATTGTTTGCAAAATTGTGGGTTTTGGGTTGTTTTCTGAAATGGGGTTTCTCCAAAATTAAGTAATTTATTGGGTTTTATTTTCTAGGATTGTGTAAAATTGGACCACTGGGATCTGGGTCCATTTCGATTTCTAATTTGGATTGCATTAAGTCATAGTAGTCATTGCTTTCGGTTTCTTTTAATTAGATGAGTTCTTGGGGTTATTTTTTTTTCTTTTCTCACAGTACATGGTACTTCAGCAAGTTTAATCTGGGAACTGAGGACAGAATTTGTCCTTGCGGTTTGTTGGAGATACTTGAAATTGTTTTAAACTACTATGGTTTCTCGGAGTTGTCATGTTTGCATTTCGAATGACTGCTATTCATTTATTCTCATTCAGCTACCAGCTTGTTAAGTGAAGTAAATTTTGAAATCATAGGTGCATTATAAAATTAAATGGGAAAGCTTCTTTTGGTCATATGACTAACATTAGAACATTCATACTGACAATAAAGGAAGCCTCAGCCTGATTTTTTACCAAATCAGCAGGCTAACTCATCTATTTGTTCCTGCACATAATGAGTATTAGGTGCTCCTCGGGAGTTAGAGACTCACTGTGAATTGTTAGATAAGGCGTTCTTTTGCATTAGGTTAGTTGAGTCAGTCATCCAGTACAGGTTTCACAGCCACCACACTATCTGGTTGCCGATTTCTAATATCTAATTGAGAAAGAGTTATAAATCAATGGTTCTGTCAATATGTTTCCACAGTCTGCTGGATCTTTGATTTGATGTGCACTCTAAGATCCCTTCTGTTGAAATTCTATTGTAATGCTATTCACTCTAGCCGGACCCAAGGCTTGTGTCTGATGTTCCATACTAGGATTCTAGTTATGAAGCTGAGGCAGTTTCTTGTATCACCTGTTATGTTGGTTTCTTGGGTGTGCCAGTTTTAAGTGGAATGCTCCCAGTATTTGGCCTAATGATGTGCGACTCTACAAGTATTTTTCAGCATATCTCAAATACCCTTATGAAAAATAATTGTATGTTTTACAGTCTACTCAGAATGAGAAGGTCTTATCACCTTTTTTCTTGTGAATCCATTTTCTGAAGGTGATACATAGATGGAAACCTGAATACAGTTGTGATTTATAAAACGAATTTCGTGTAATTTGTATTTTTCCTCTTTGTTTTGTTTTCCTTTATATCATATCTTTATCTACCGTCTTATGGTTATATTCTTCCCCCATGATGGTGGGAATTTCAGAACTCTGTAAATGGCGGTGTGACAGCACTAATTTGGGGAGCATCACCTCAGACACGATCTGATCGGAGGAAGGATCGTGTGGAGACTAATCCTGAGCAGTTGGCTGCTGCATCAGCCCAGGCCGAAATATCCTTTGTGTTTTAAAGTGTTTTTTTCCTTGCTTTTTTATATTCGTATCTTTTGATATTTGCATACTTACCATATGAAAAACAACAAAAAGATCCTTCAGATCTCTAAGTTAGTTACATTACTACCACAAAGAGAAAATATAGCTGCCATTTCCCTCAATATCCTCATAGTAAACAGTACAGTTGATGATCTCCAAGTAAGAAAGTGCTCTGGTTTAAGGAGAGCACTATAGTCTTTTCACAATGAGCATAATTTTTTTGTTTGGTGAATTTTCCTCAATGAACTTCAGTCCAGTCCGTTAAACTAATGATGAGCTGAAGAAGGAAGATATTCAAAGACATGCTTAACTTTTATTACTAGGACCCCTTGACTAGAAACCCTAGTTTCTTTAAACTAGTGTAATACAGTCACCTTAAATGGTTGTGTTAGATTTGTGCTATACTCATTCCATGTATTAGGATTTTTTGTTTAGCATAGTTTTTACTGTCTTGCTTTAAATGGTGATGTAAATTTTTATCCAAAAAAGAGGAGGGGGTGCGCTCAACAATCTAAATCATGCAATAAGAAAAAGCTCTAAGATGCATGAGCTCGGGCTTTGAGTTTTATGCGGGCTGGAAATTTGCAAATATGTGCAGTTGGTTCAACATTTATATTCTATAGTATTATGTCAACTTATACTTGTAGTGTTCATGGTATTTGCATGTAGCACTTCCTTTTATTATCTTTACCTTTGAGGGTTATTCATGATATTGTGTACTTAACTCTATACCACAGAATGACACTGTCAACTGGAAGAACAACTAGAGTGATTGGGTGGTACCATTCACATCCTCATATTACAGTTCTTCCATCTCATGTTGGTGAGTGTTATCTAAATACCCATGCTTTGTGTCATTTTGTTCACTTTTGTTCTCATGAGGTTGGGCTACTGCATGGGTAAGTATCAACAGCTACTGAATTGGTAGAAACCTGAAACGTGTTCATTTGATAGCCAATCACATTTCTGGGAGTGGTATGAAACATGATGAGTCTACACATTCTGTCCAGATATGTAGGTTTTATTCAATATTTTGAGGTGGGTGGCTGGAAAGTCATGGGTTGATTTTGGGATCAGGGAATTTTGTCCCTTTTTAACCAAGACTTCAGGGGCGGATATATGGAACATGGAGTTGGAACCCATGCTAGCTAATAATTCATGATGTAAAAGGATCACCGTGTTGCATCAGAGTTTACTTTTTGAAATTTCTTATTAAATTAAAAGGCTTGAAGAAAGAAAGACTTCCAAATTTGAAAACCATCCTTCAACTTCCTCCTTTTCCATCTCAGAGTCCCCAAACACGTATCTGAATAACTGTAAACCAACAATCCTTGGAAGACATAGAAGAAGAAAAGGATAAGGAGAAGTTTCAAATTTGTCTACTGCTAGTTTGAACTTATTCTTTGTAATTTTTTTGGGCCCTTGATGTGATTGGAGGGATGGTTGTAGTGTTGTAACAACAGTTTGGTAGTACTTTCTGTGGAGTTTCAAGGAGGAAGAAGATGCAGAGAAGGTGATAATGGTCCAAGGGAGAGAAATGAGTTGATAGAGGAGACTTTACAGATAAGTAAAGAAATTAAAAGACTGCCCTTGTACACAATGCAGCAAGCTAATGTTTCTAATAAATCACCATATGGCCACCATTAGATATTGTCAAAATATGGTTTAATCTGTGGCTCATGAGTGTGATGCACATATGTGTGTGTATATGTCATGCTATTACTCAACAGTAATCTCTTAACAAGTGTTTCACTCTTTCTAACCTTTGGATCAGATGTGGTTATTTGTTAGACATGCTATCATAGTCGGTTGCCGGAGATCGATATTACAGCTATGTTCTACTTTGTGCAGACGTGCGGACGCAGGCAATGTATCAACTTCTAGATTCTGGGTTTATCGGGCTCATATTTTCCTGCTTTAGTGAAGATATAAACAAGGTTCGCATTATAAATGGTATTTGTAAAGTAGTGAAGCTACCTTATATGCATATATTTGCTTGTGAATATGTTCTTTAGTCATACTCGGTATTTTCAGGTTGGGCGAATCCAAGTCATTGCTTTTCAGTCCTCGGATGGGAAACAGCATCACATGTCAAGACCTATATCTTTATCTCCTGTACATAAAAGTCCAGTTATAGATGTTGAATCGTCTTTAAGTACCTCAGAAAATGCACCAGCGAGATCCACCTTAACTAGAGCAGGGAGTCCTGAACAAGACACAGCTGATTCAAGAACTTCTGGAACTATAAAGGTATTTATATCCATTCTATTAAAATTGAGAAAAGGAAGAGAAAAAACATGTTAATTGATGAGGGATGATAGCTGCAGTCTCGCTGTTTGTTTCACTGAATAAACACATGATTATAGTTCAAGTATGTACTGTATTGATCTCCTGAAGTGTCATGAATAATGAAACTCTTTTTCTGTCCTTTCACATTAAATTTAAAACTTAGGTTTTGTGCCTGATGGCCCATGATCTTTGTGGTCATTATTCATATTTCCGTGGAACTGGAAATATGAATAATGAGACTAGTGGCAAAATTCATTTGATTTTGATCAGTAGGTCATTCTTAATATAAGTAGTGCATGTTGGTCGGTAACAGATAATATTCATGATTCCAGCTATTCTTTCCAACAAACTCAGCGGCCATCTCATATATGAGTCGTGGAAGAAGGCGTGTGACCTATTAGATTATAGGGCCATAAAGAAAGAAAATAAGTAGTGAGTTTTAGGTTCTTCCCTGATTGCTTTTGTTGGTGCCTCAAATTAGAGGATGTGATAGGAGCTCCATTCAAATGAGCCTCTATTCTACTTGTGATAGTTTCTTGTTGCAGACTTGCTTGTCTAGAGATACCATTTTCATGCTGGTCCATGTTGTGCAATGCCTAAATTATGGTTGATTTGCTTAGGGTGGGGGGAGGTCTTCAGACCTGGGGCTTTTCTTTGCCAATGCTGATGCAAGTCATCTAGGAAGAGTTGGAGGAAACTACCAGACTGACACTTCAAGCAACATCATTGGCGATATAGATCCCATGGATATGTCAGAGAGTATGCAAGAAGCAATGCACCGTTCTAACTTGGATATGAGGTATGCATGAGTTTGTACTTGATACCTGTTATCCTCTTTATTGTTATTGTGTGAAACTGTGTAATTGGCGCTGGGAATGCTTGTGATTAGTCTTTGGTTCAACCTGTGGGCAAATTTCTACTCGTGCATTTGCTCCCTTAAATGTTGTACCGTAACAGGAATTCAGATCTTTCGCCATAAAACTTCCCAAATAAATTAAAATGAAGTAAGATTAATTCTGTTCTCATTACTCAAGATGAAGATTCATGAAATATGTATAATTCCCTAGCATGTTATCAGTGTCCTAACAACAGTAATTGGCTTTGCTAATTGTAGAATAGATTCCAAGTGTGGACATTTTGTCTGGCAGCAGACATAACAGCATTGCCATAGCTGCCTAAAATTCGTTCAAAAGAATTGAGTAAATTTCCAGAATATAGTGGTTCTCAAGTCTCTGGCTTCTTGCTTTAAATCCACGTTGTTATCTAAAAACCAATTGACTGGAGGAATGATCTAGTGTTTTGTTTGTTGGGTCCCTGCGAGAATAATGTTGTTCCTCTTTATTCCTGACTCTTTCCCATCTCTCCCGATTGTTTATGCTTGATGAGTTGTTTTCTATGTAATCGGCTTACACCTCTCACTCACATATGAAGAATAATTACTAGTTCTAGCATCTGGATGTTTTCATGCTCCAAATTGGAACAAAGAACAAGATCTTCCACAATTATATTTATTGCTGAATAAACAATGTGCAATTCCATTCTGAGGTCCTAAAAGACAATTTTTATTTTTTATTATCTCATTTTCATTTCTTGCAGTGGTGCTGAGTATGCCAGGAAAGAAGTTCCTCTTCACGTTTTACCGACCTCATCTCTCGTGAAGCTCAATTCACCTTTAATGTCATTCACCGAATTGCAACGAGTATTGTATGAAGAGGAGCGAGCGGCTTATAACCAAGCAATCTTGCAAAATATGAGGTGATACATTGATATTCCATCACTTTATACTAATCAACCCATTGTTGATTCTAATTGGCTTTGGTTTTGCTTAGGGATGGGAAAGTGCATCCTCTTACTTTCATACATCACACATCAATGTACCAGTCTTCCATGTGCAAATTAATCGAATATTGGTCAGAATTATATTCCCATCTCTGTATTAGCTGTTTGTGCCTGGTCTTTTACCGTTTTCAGTGTTGTACTTACTTTTCTTCGAATCCTATGCAGTTTGAGTCCTGCCATAAGTGCACTGCAATGTCGGTTAAGAGAGAATGAAACTCGGGTATAATACCATGCAATTTGTAGATAGTAAGGATGCTTTGTTAATCTCAAAAGTGTTCTCAAGTTTGATGGAGTTTCAACGGAGTTTGATTGATTTGAAATTCCATCTCGAGCTTGAGCCATTTTATAATTTCAACCTGAAACTTCTATTTATTATTACAAACTCGTTTACGACTCAATGTGCATTTCCTTTAAGGCTGGACGTACATGATGGCTTACCATATGGTGGGTTCCATCCCTATGGTCCTTGGCCATGCTCAAATTTCGATTTTTTTTGGCCCTAGTTTGTGACATTATGACGTAGTTGTCTTTCTCATGCAAACTATATTTATAAATGAATGGCCTTTGCTGAAACAGTTAGCAGTGCTCACCGATCAAGTGAAGATTTTGGAAACTGAGGCGCATAGAATAGCCGAGACAAATTCAGGATCTCCTCGTCCGGTTTCATCTCCTGTACTCCGTGGGAGTGCTCCGTTTGGTCACAGGGAAATGTTTAGTCCAGCTGAATCTGTCAGTGCAAGGAGTCCAGCTGGTTCTGGCAGTAGGAGCCGAAAAGGTTCGTAATGCAATCTCAGAGAAAATCCTCTGGCGAATGCATACCGTGTAGTGTTTGGATTTGCTTGATATGCTGTGTTGTTTTGCAAAATCTAGTTATGCCAAAACGGATTGCGCCTTATATGCAATGAAATGTGTTTTGGAAATTGCTGCTGCTGTTGAACTTTTGGGTAAATAGGGGACAATTGTCGTGCAAATTCCACCTGTATTTTGTATCCAGATATAATGAAAATTTTCAATGGAAATCAGTCATCGTTTTATGGATTTTTGGACTCCGTTCTTACCACGCTTACTCAACATTGGGTTGTGTCCTCAATGCCCTTAGGAAACAATTCAAACTCCAAATGGGGAGAGGAATATAAATACGGACTTGCCGAGTTGGCAGGCGTAAAATGCAATACAAGCAGTTACAGAATTACTAAGTTGTACTTATAATTGTCTAGGGGCTAGAATAAAGTAGGAAAGTGTTGTACTTTTATGCACAAATGAAAGTGAATTCTAACAAAGTACCAAATATTAACGTTGTATGCGAAAGCTAAAAATAATCTTAAAAAACACAAGAGGTTTATGTGGTTCAACATAAAGCCTACGTTCATCGGCGAAACACGGCAAGGAATTTCACTAAACAACCCAAATCCCACAAATTACAAACCCTAATCCAAACAAGTAAAGAGCTCGAACAAATGGAGGAGACTCTTCCAAATAACTCTCTAACTCACAAACTCACAAATTGATTCTCACCAAACTGCCAAACGAATGAGCCATGAATTTGCTACACACTCATCCCTCCAAACGGTGACCTCCACCCATAATAAAAAAAGTTGTAAACTAATGGTGACGGCACATGAATAAACCAACCCTAAGGTCCTATTTATTGTGCATAGGACATAGGTTACAATGAGAATCCTAATACAAATTAGAAGTAAATCCAAATCTTAATTAAATAGATAACCTCTCCACCATGTAAGGAATCCAAATCCAACCAAGAAGTCAAATCCAAATCCAAAAATGATACCAAGCAAAAATAGGTAACACAAACCTAATTTCTGCATCATTCTAATTTTGAGCCGTAAACCCAACAGAAAGAAAGTTTGACTAGTAATGCAAAAAATCTGAAAGAGTGGTTCTTTATACACCCAAATTTATTTCTAGATACCTTTGTTTCTCTCAACATCCAATTTACTCTCACACATTCTCTTGGACACGAAAATAATTTACTAAACTTCCAAAAATACACTTCTTTTATATTAATGAATTTATTTTTAGTAGGACGCCCATCTCTCTCTCTGTCTCTCTCTCTCTAAACGGCACAGCCCCATTTGAGTCTTTATTTGATTCCTTTAAAAAAGCTTGGCTGTGAACTCACAAGGAAACACTTTCAAATCCAATGCCACCTAATCTTTACAAACAGGGCTAAGCCTTTCAATAAAAAAGTCTTAGGATTTAGGACTTTTAATCCATTATAGTGGGTATCCTTTCCATGTTCTTTCACATGCAAGAAAATCCGAGTAACTTTTGTTCACCACCCTCTTCTACACTATGGTGGTGTCCTCACCATATCCTCGTATATTACAGTAATATCCCCTCCATGTACTCCCTAGACCTCCAGCCGGAGGAGCTTTAGCTGTTGGTGTTTTTAATGACCTTGTGGAAAGTGGTGAAATGGTAAGGTTTGGGTAGTGGAAACAGTGGGTCTTGAACCAAAGAAGAAGGGGAGAAAGGAGAAAGATGAATAGGAAGGCACAAAGTAGAAAGAAGAAAATGAAGGTATTGAGGAGAAGAAGGAAGATGAAGGTATGAAATTATAATTTGATGAATAAAGATTTGGCTGACGAACAATGGTGTCAGGAAAGTATTAGGTAAACATCGAGCAAAGTTCGTGACGGTGGATATTTATTACAAGTCATTATTGAACTTTTGACCACTAACAGTACATTTGGTCGACGAACCATGTTGTTAGGCAAATCCTTCCTAGCCGAAGAATACTTAATTCGTCGAGCAACCCTTTGCTGTTGCGTGCCAATTCTTTTCCATCTTCGCACCATAATTTTGCCTGACGACATACTACTTGCCCTACGACAACATTCCATCGCCTAAAGGTTTTGAGTAAATCCTAAATGTTGACCGTCTTTGCCTTGTCAACTGAAATATCAGTCTGGAAAAGGCCTTATTACCTGAGGAAATTTCTTCCGTCGTGCAAAGATTTGTAGGGCAAGCCATATCTTCTGATAGTGATATACAACCACTTGTACAGTTAATATACTTAAATGCCACATTATACCACATAGGATTCTTGTCATTAGTATTGGTTATTGATTTGTTAAGTTATATTAGAAAGTCGTTAGAAGGTTGTTTATTGTCTAAGCTCTGTAAGAGTATAAATACTCATTCTTTCAATTCATTTGTATCCAGTCATATATATTGTAAGAATACAATTTATTCTCTGTTAAGAAATACAGAAGTTCCATTGTTTTCTTTCATTTCTTCATTGTCTTCTTCTTTGGTATGGTGGGATTATCCAGCCAGTCAAATTTTAACGAGGTTTACATGCAAGGTTCTAAAAAAACGCTAGACACTAGTCGGGGCGACGGGCTGTGCCTAGCGGCTAGGCGGGGTCTAGACCGGCGCCTAGGTGGCCTAGACAGATTTAGATAAATTTCTTGTATATCTTATAAATAAGTGTATACTGACACTTATAAAAAATTATACTTGTATGAAATCCCTGAATAAGATAGTAAAAGAATAATAAAATGCGTATCTAACAAGTCCAAAAAATCAATAATGCTATGAACTGATAGCTTGACAATCTATATTTTTTTAATGAGAAAAAAAAATTAATAGCACTTGAATGGACTGACATCCTTTTTACTTTAAGAAAAGTCACGATGCTAGCTCCAAACTTGAATGGACAGAAACCAAAAAAAAAAAAAAAAAAGAAAAAAAAAGTAGTTTAAAAGTGATCACGTGCGTGTGGAAGGAAGAGAGAGAAACTAATTTTCTCTCATCTTCTTCCTCTTCGCAAGAATACAGACCAGAAGCATGAAGTCCAGAAAAACCAGAACACAGACCCGAAGCATTCATCCTTTCTCACATTCGAACATAGAAAAAATTGAAATTCCCAGATCGCCTAGGCCATCCAATTGCTCACCTAGGCTGCTCAGGCCACCTCGGAGCCCACCTAATCCTTGTCCCGATTTTGCTCTCGATTTTGCATTAATCTCCCCAGTTCGCTACCGCCTAAGTCGATTTTTAGAACACTGCTTAAATGTATGTTGAGCATGTTCGTTTTGGTGAAATATCTTGTATATTATAAAATATAATATTAAAAAAAATAGTACTAAGTAAGAAATGTAGCAAAAAGAAAAAGTAGAACTAAGAGTAATTCTGAGTAATTAGCATCTCCTTTTAGGATTTCATGAGGAAGAATTCAACAAATACACCCTGGGCCTGAGGAATAATATGAATAAGTTAGTCCTAGTCATTCATGCATGGAAGCGATTCCCGAGGAGAGAATCGAATCATGCATTAGCTGCCCACCTCTCTTTGCTCTTCTTTACAGTTTGCCTGTATTCCCCTTTACCCTTCTCCAAGAGAATGGAGGCCAGATATCTCCTTGTGTGTGCATGTTCTTTTTAGAGAGAGAGAGAGAGAGAGAGAGAGAGAGAGAGAGAGAGATGCATATTGGAGTAGCAGCCGCAGCAAAGAAAAAAGAAAAAGAAACAAAAACAAAAGATGGTCAAAATTAATGAACACCTCGAGGACTTGTTATTCCATCATCAGCTTCAACATCCTTTATTGAAACTCACCATTTTGCTTCTTTTTCTGTTTTTGGTTTCATCATTTCTTTCCCTTTTTCACTCTTCAAGATACTGTTCCATTCCGTATACTCAATGGAAAATAAAATCCTTCTGGTATTACCCGCCCAACAATATACAAGACCAAAGTGAATATTTTCTTTGTTGATATATATATATATATATATATATATATGAAATTATCTCATGAATTAATCATATACATCAACGATTGTTATATATATATATATATATATATATATATATGTGTGTGCATACGTGAACTTCTATTGCTGTCATGTTCACTTTCAGAAAAATAAAAACCAAAATTATTTTTACCCTTGAGTTCCATTCCTTATTTAACATATGGGTACCAAAACTACTTCACTTCTTACCTTTCTTATGTGTATGAATTTCCCTTTGAAATCGGAATTTCCCTTTGAAATCGTTGATCAAATACCTAAAAATCATGAATTAAATCAATTAGGGATGCTATTGATCTAATTCCCTTGCATACTCTCCTAATTCTAAGTTTTTTAATTTCTTCTAAACGCATTTCTATTAAGTAAATGAAGAAAGTAGAGATTCCACCATGCAATGTCCCTCCTTTATTTGATATGGAATTGATAATCTCAACATTTAATATGCTCTTAATTTCATCCTCAATTTGTATGCTCTCTTAAATGCTACAATGGGTGTTTCTTGCCACATTTGGAAAGTTAGGTATTGTTTAACTCCTCATGATTTGTCTATAAATATGAACCTTAATAGGAATAAAGGAATATTCAAATTTGTAAAGCAAGAGCAAGTTTTTCCTATAAATTGACTGTTACTCTGCTGATTCTCAAAGTAAAATTGAAAGAGAGTAGACCCCTTGGGCCCTGGTGAATACAATTAAGATAAGACGTGGCCCTGCTAGGACCTTTATGTTTGGGGAATATGAATATCATGGTAGGAGGTAGATCTGACAATTTCTTACATGATTCGTTAACACGATATGTAAACGATACAAAAATAACGGATTTCGGGTTAACACGATAACTAATCGGGTCACACGATAAGAACTTGTTAATAACGGGTCCTTAACAGGTTTACACGAAAAAAACATACGGGTAACTTATTTCAACACATTAAGAAAAAAGTTATTTTGATGATTTTAATTTTTTAAACTATGAAAAAAACTTGCTATAAATAAAATAGCCATAGTGTGTATGTATATAATTATATATTAAGTATGTATTATTATTCTATATAAATGTAAAAAGCTTGTTTTATTTATTTGTTTATTTTTATTGTGACAACTTGTCCCTACTTTTACGGTTTTATTAATTTTTAAAATTGTGAATTGATGAAAATGCCCTAGAGGCGAGATTATTGACTTTCGTTGACTGTTAGTTCATGACGCATATGAACTACTATTTTACCATACTCTTGAAGTTCTCGACGGGACGATCGCGTAAGCGTAATCTG